TGATAGCGCAGGACTGATGCTGACTTTATAGTGTAATTTCACTGGAGCATACTGCTGAAGACACATCTTATTTTACGATCGAACCTCGTTATCTCACCATCTTCAACAGCCAAAGGTTCATAATTTAAATTTGTACTATTCAACCTTGGCAGATTTAGCCTTGTGTTTAACTTCCCTCCCCTGCCACCTTGCATAGACACTTTACTAGCAAAACTTTAAACTTTCAAAATTATTTCAGCACTAGTCGCCTATGTATTTCCCTTGGTTATCATTTACAGTTTGAATATGGCCAATTATCTCTACCAACTGATCATATACAGAAAATGTTTCTTTAAGTATCGTCCTCCTTTGTTGTTTTTTTACATAAATCATGACATAGTCGACAAGGCAACTTATTACTGGGCGCCGCCATTATTATTTACATGCACAGGGACTTGGTATTAATTTATAAACCTCAGTTCACATATGTGTATTATATAATGTATGATATAAAAGAAAGTATGTGGACCATAGGATGGTAATTCGTGCCAAGTCCCTGTGCCAGGTTCAATAATTTGAAAGCTTAGAGAACAAGGCTAAATCCGCTAAGGTTGAATACATAAATATGTGAATACAAAATGAACGTTTGGCTAGCAAAGATGGGATGTTACAGGCTGGACAGATAATGACAACAAAAACAGGCTGAAAACATGTATGGAATGTGTTTTTCTTAAGGGAGGCTGTATAAACACATTATGAATATGTAAAATCATGATGAAGGTCCATTTTACCCGAATTACCTGACGTTATTTTCAATATACCTTCAGTTCATCTATATTTCCACACTATTCTCTGTATAAGGGATAGGAATCTCAGTTTGTTTTTTGGGTTTTATAAATCCTTGCAACCACTTTTAAGTCATATGTATTTAAGAAAGGTCTGCCAAATATCTGATTCTTTGACAACTTTACTACAAATATATAGCAGGAATTGAACTTTCTATATCAATTGCACTACACTTCATATCATTTGTTGACATTTTTCTGCTACAATACATGGAGTTTCCTCACAGGATGCTGATAACCGAAAAGAGTCTGAAACCTTAATCATATCTTTTAGAATACTGTGTTTAAAAAAAATGTTATACATGTATCTCTTTGATCCACTAAACATCAGCAAACAACATTTAAACCCTTCATTCCCTAAATCTGTGATTAAAAGGATTGTAAAAACAAATATATGTGTTCGCTTAAATGTTAAAATATTTCTGTTCAACATTCATATTTACAGTGGTGTTCAAATCCACTAATACATAAGTTGACATAAAATTCAACAGTATTAAAGGTTATACCGGTACAATACATTTATCCTGATATCACGTCTGTTAATGTCACTTTTCGGTATTATCATGTATTATTGATGCTCATGTATCCNCTATTTTCACGAACTCGAAGAGTTGTGCCCCTTTGTTTGCTTTCCTGTACATATTATTCTGGCAGTTCATATTTTTATTTTTCCATTTGTTATGCACTTCATATACATCTGATGAGAATGGGAGATATTTAAAAATGCACAAAATTCGCCAAGTAAGCTAAAAGTTACAAAAGGCCAAAAATTTGTTTCAAGTAATACTCATACTCTCTGTTTTAAACTAGGAACACTTGCTATGTACTCTAAGTATTTGTGCAGTTATGATTGATTGTCTTCCTTTGGATAATATTTCTGTGAGTTGTATCCCTCACATGATTTCCTCACATTCCTTTCTGTTATATATCGGATATAGTTTGTTACTTCTATAAGTTCCAAGTTTCCCTTTAGATAAAATATGTCATGTTTAGGTGATTTTTGAGAATTGATGGTTTTGCGAAGTTGCTTATTGTTTTGCAAGGTACCAATACTTTTATGTTTATAACATATATAGGGTGCTCCCATAGCTACCACTTTCTTTAAAATGTAGATTTTCTTCCCGTTGTTTTTGGAAAAAAATATCCAGAAATTTTAGATAGTTTTGAAACTTAAAACTTACCATACTGACAATGTCAGACAATTTCAGACATGCGAAACATATAATAATGTGTAGATCTTGAATTGACAGATCTGTCAGATCAGCACAAATTACTTAAATTGGAGTCTACATAAAGAGTTATGTCCCTTCACTTTCTTTTTCAAGATTACATGATTCAAACAATTTTCTACTTGAGTCATCGAATCTGTCAAAATCTGTCAAACCATACTTTACATACAATGTAACATTGCAACACACTTGGGATCTTAAATCTTTCCTTTCTTTCTTCTCTGTTCTGCCTTTCCTTGGTCGTGCCGCCTGAGAAGCATGGCGAACACTTAAGGATCAGTCTGTCCGTCATCACACGTTGTCGTTTGCGGCGGCAGTCACATTTAAGTTTTCCAGACTTTGTTTCGGCACCATTTACCATATCAATTTGTAACTTTGTATGTGGCTTAATCAAAAAAGATTACAGATCAATTTCGAACCACGTGCCAATATTTTATTTTTTTGCTGGAGTTACATGCATGGCCCTTCACACATTGGAATTGTTCTCATAATTAACTGTTTGCCATACTTTGTTCGTTACCGCTTGCCACTTAGTATGTGGCTTTATCATAATGGATTACAGTTAGAGTCCAAACCCTGTGTCAATATTTCATTTGTTGCTGGAGTTATGGCCCTTCGCACATAGGAAATTATCAAAATAAACTCTTTTTTTTTTACTTATTTCGCTACCGCTTGACATATCAATTTGAAACTTTGTTTGTGGCTTTATCATAATAGATTACAGAGTTTGAACCATGTATTAAATTTCCATTTTTGACTGGAGTTAAGGCCCTTTTACACATAGGAAATTCTCATAATTAACTGTTTTCCATATTATTTGCAACTTAGTATACATGTATAATGGATTACAGTTTGAGTTAGAATCAGTGTCCGTGTTCTAGTTTTTCTGGAGTTATAGCCCTTTGCACATAGGAAATTCTTATAAGTAACTGTATTTTTTCCGTCAACACATGCACTTCCTTCGAATTGCAGTTTTCTTTTTTAGGTGACGACCGTCCTCATATGACGATGTCTGCTGCGAGGACACACATCACCTGATACAGTACATCCTTTGAAGTCCTTCTGTATGGCTGGATGATGTTTTCAAACCAATGGTCTGGAGCATTACTTGGTTAAAAAGACTGAATGCCGTTTAACAGAGGGTCTCTCTCATAATACTCTGGCTCCCTAGGGGGTGGAGTGGGGTCCCAAAGGGGGATTCTTCAATTCAATTACACAATTTGTTGTTAGGACCCCTGCACATCTTTAGTAATCAGATTTTACGTCTGTCTGTCCTTCTATCTGTTATTAGCTCACCTGCCAAGGACAAGTGAGTTTTTGCCCTGGTGCGGCGACCGTCGTCCCGTCGCGTCGCATCCCGATTCAATGAAAACACTTAGCAACTTCATTCATTGACAGATTTTGGTCAAACTTTATACAAAGGTCAAGTATGGGTATACTTGGGACATCTTAGATTTCAGGGATACAAGGTCAAGGCCAAGGTCACATTTGCTATATATAGAAAATCACCCCGTCCCGTGGCGTCCCGTTTCGATTCAATGTAGACACTTAGCAACTTCATTCTTTGACAGTTTTTGGTCAAACTTTATACAAAGGTCAAGTATGAGTATACTTCATAAATCGTTGTATTTCAAGGATCCAAGGTCACGCTTGCTACATATAGAAAATCATCAACTGATTCAATTTAAACACTTAGCAACTTCATTCGTTCATTGATTTTGGTCAAACTTTATGCAAAGGTATACTTCGGACATTGTTGTGTCTCAGGGTTCCAAGGTCAAGGCCAAAGTCACTGTTGCTTTATATAGAAAATCATCAACTGATTCAAATTAAACCCTTAGTAACTTCATCCAATATGTTATGGAGATGGTAATAACATACAGAAAAAATATATGAATATTAAAGTCAACTTATCAACTTTAAGTGTAGAACCTTGTGTGTGTGCATACATGGACTTTATCCAGTGTAATATAATGTTTGCTTAAGCTTTTGGATAGCTTTTCAGCCTTTGATATCAAAGGTCAAGGTCACTTACTATATAAAGAACATCAGTTTGTGCATTGTATTTCGAATTCTGTTGGACTGATTACACTCAGATTTTATCGAGTCTTTCCTGGAAGAAAGTGCCTGCTTGGGATAACTTTTCAGGTCCAGTGGTCAAAGGTCAATGGGTCACTATAAATTGAAAATCTGTTTAATGCACTAATGCAAAATATCTTGATATCTCTTTGGCTGATTACACTCTTGATTTTATACAGTGCTTCCTCAAAGAAAGTGCCTGCTTGGGATAACTTTCCAGGCCCGGGTGTTAGGTCTCTATCACAGTTACTATATGAATAGAAAATCAGTTTATAAAATGCACTACTTGTATTTTGAGTTCTGTTGGGCTGATTACACTCAAGACTTTATCCAGTGCTTTCATAAAAAAAACCACTTGCTTTCACTGGTGTTTGCTACATGTATACCTAACCACAGTTTCTTTTAAATCTTCAATAAACATAATTATGGAGAATAGTCACGGCGACATTTAAAAAATGTATATAAATCTTATTACCGGTTAGCTTGTAATAATAATAATAATTTGAGGTTCTTATATATCGCTTTATCACAACCTTGTTAGTTAGTATTCGAGGTTATAGGGCCTTTACAACCAGCCAGTATATCTTTTTCAACTCCCTGGGGAGCATACAGCCGGAGCTGCCATTGCGGCGCTAACAGCTAGCATCCAACTATTCTAGCGCTGCCCAACTACGTACTCAATTACAGCTGAGTAGACTGGAACAAGCGGAGTAAAGTATCTAGCTCAAAGATACAACACAGTGCCGTGCCGTGACTCGAACCCGCAACCCTTCGGTCACCAGCCCGGAGTCCTACCACTAGACTACCGTGCCTCCTATTCTGTTGAAACTGTAGCTGATGCCTATTTTAAAAGTGTAAATGGATTTGAATTCAAGTCGTCAGCAATATGTTGATATATAATTTATTATAAATAACAATTGTCGTTGACTTTTGTTCCGTTTGTTTGACAGGGACGTGATCATGCGTTAATTATAGTGACGCATTGTTGTCAGTCCTTGGTTTCTCTGTCACGGGTATATTTCATACACAGCTGCGTACCAGCAATGGAAGGGAAGACATGTCGGCCCTTAGGGATATCATCAGTTGACGGCCAGTCAGATCAGTACAATAGACCAATTTGATCACTCTCCATTGTTCTTTGGAAGCCCAGAGTATCAATCAAATGAAGTCACACTAGTGCTGGACACTGTTGGCTGGACAGTCCAAGTCAATGACCACTTGTAATATGACGTGTGTTACAGTGTGCCCTCAGTGGGGGTGTAGAGGAAGCACAAACATGGTCCATGAATACAATGATACGATAGATAAGTATTGCACCAATAACGTCTCACAAAGAAAAACATATCACCACTTATTCGTCTTCCGTTTATATCACTCAGCGTCACGTGATAATACAAATGACGGCTGTTAAGATCACGTGACTGTATGTTCTCGCCTTTCCATACCCCTCGGAGTTCTACTTTCAGCTACCATTGTTGCCATTCTTTCTAAGTATTGGTGGACCCGTTGTCCTCTCCGTGCCTCTAAATTCTTCCAGCGGTAGCTGAGTTCACTGATCTTCTTTTCGGCGATTTTTCTTAAAATACAAACAAATTTTAATTAAGATCCGACTCATTATTGTTTATCATTTTCTGAAATAACATTATCAGATCACAAACTTCATTATCAACAGAGTAAACATTTAATTTCTGTGTTTACCCCTGTTTTGAATTAAGACTGTGTGTATACCCTTGATAACACTTTATCCCAGGTCGAATGTGCAATAAGATATCCCCTTTCAATTTGATATATCCAACTAACTTCTGGTAACTTGGTAGCATTACTGCAAAACCTACATACTGTGCTGATGATCTTAACTGTTCATGTGCCTTCTCTTGACCTCCTCCCAATACCTTCTATAGAATTATACATGTATCTGTCAAGTGATTATAGCTATCTCCATGCTGTGAAGCTCTGTTTGCTTATATGTCTCATCAATTTTACAACAAAATAACACAAAAACATTTGTGAGTGGCGATAAATTGGCTCACTTTTAGGAAGTGGCCGCAATATTTTATTCATATTCTGAAAAATTTGGATAAAAACTTCTTTTACTAATTCTTGATCTGAGTAACACGTGATTTCGAAAAACTCCAATTCGGAGGGATAATTCAAATTACATTGCTGTGACTGTATAATTAAAGATGGCGATCTTCTGATTTTTTTCTCTCTAAATGTTTAGCTGCCAAGTTAAACTGACCAATGAGCGTTAACCTCTGATCAAAGAACCCGGATGTGACGATCGCCTTTTATGGGTTAGGGGGCGTGGCGATGAGCTAGCCCGCTAATGTAATCAAAAAGACTTAATTAAAACAAATGGGCAGTTCATGCAAAAACACGTTTGTTTTTTACAAACTCTCATATTGTTCATTACTGCTTTCAACACATACTGAATCAATGGCACCTGGTGGTTATAAATAGTATAACCTGATAACAGACAGCTGGTGGTATATAAAGAGTATAACCTGATAACAGACATCTGGTGGAATATAAAGAGTATAACCTGATAGCAGACATCTAGTGGTATATAAAGAGGATAACCTGATAACAGACATATGGTGGTATATATAGTGTATAACCTGATAACAGACATATGGTGGTATATAAATAGAATAACCTGATAACAGACATCTGGTGGTATATAAAGAGCATAACCTGATAACAGACATCTAGTGGTATATAAAGAGTATAACCTGATAACAAACAGCTGGTGGTATATAGATAATATAACCTGATAACAGACATCTGGTGGTATACAGAGAGTATAACCTGATAACAGACATCTGGTGGTATA